TATTAATGCTGTTTGAATTCGATACAAACCTCAGGGTAAAATGAATTCTATTAGAATCCCTGTATGATACTGATAAAACACTAAACTCCGTTTGTGATTTTTTTAAAAGAAAGAACCATGGGAACAAAAAGACCTTCAAGCTGTTCTCCTTAAGGGAACTCACAATGGTTTGCTTTTCAATTTGGTAATACAATGTTCTCAACACAAACAGGCACAATGATTTATGGAATCAAAAGAAGAAATTTTGATCAATTTATAAAAACAACACTTCACCTCCACCTGCGATGAAGCAGGACTTCTTTCCTGTGCCTTCACGCAGAAAACACAGAAAAGAAAATAAAATAGATGAAAGAAAGCAGTAGAAGAAGTGAAAAAAGGAATAAAAAATATAAATGTGGACGTGTGAAGGTTGGCAGAAAGGAAAAAGGCTTGCCAGAAACAGCAGATGAAGCAAACAAGATAAAAAGACTTCTTGGACAGCCAAGCAGAGAAGCTGCAAGCAATCAGGAAACAAATGTTTTCTATTTTTAGTGGAAAAGTCAGGGCGCTACGATCATTGTGTTTGTTCTAAGTGGCCTAAATGTCTGACAAACGTGTTTTCAGCAACACAGCTGCCAAAGATGTTTAATAAATTAAGTTAGACACGGCTCAAACAGACACTTGTTTCTGCAGCTGAGTTTGCATGTTACAGTTTAGCCTGGATACACATTAAATATAAAAATAGGAATAAAATATTCAGCCAGTTTGCTTGGAAGGGCAATGCACACAATTTCTGGAGCCAGTGTGTCTGTGTGAATTATGTAGAGAAACAGGCGGTAAACCATGTCAYGCTAAAACGCCTCAGAGGAGCTGACATTCCCCCGACAGGCTTTCAGGGTCAAGATATTTATTGCAATCGAACAACCCCGGTCTTATCAAAGCTAATAAGTACTGTTGTACCCTTTCCTATTGATTGTGAATGTGTGGGCTAAGTGTTGGGAGTGTTTTGCCGGATGTGCACTYGTCCTTGTGTGAGATCTTTATCATTCCGGGCGCACAAAGACCCAACAGTTACACATGAATCTTTACAAACTCCTTAATAAATGCCAGTCAGATAAGAAGTTAATCTCACAACTAATTTGTGTAAATTATTAAAGTTCATTATCTCGGTAAGAGCAGAAGCTGGCCAAGCAGCTGTAGGGCTCACCGGTGCTGCGTGCGAGCAGATAATTTTCAAGCGAGCCAGACTCGAGCAAAGGCAGCRAGAGGAAAATCCACACGAGGAGCACTTTCATCTGTGGATGTTGTCATCAGAGTGATTCTGTGGATCAGCTCTGTGATGTGTTGTTGAACACGGGGAATCGAATATGGTGTTCAGACGGCTCATGGCAGTAAACCATGATTTAAATAAACTGGGAAAGAAAAATGAATTAACATTTAAGATTTTTTCCTGCTCTCTGTCTATGAAAGCAACAKTATACTCAAAGCACATTGTTGTTTTTTTCTTAAAAAGAAAAAAAAATATGAGGAGAAACACTTATTTCACTGAAGGCCAGCACACTGACGAGAGAAGAAAAACAATCAAACGCTCTTCTGTTGAAAATTCTACTGATTTTTCATTCAGCTAAATTGAGTCCAGCTGCAGGTTATTCAGCTGACAAAGAGGCTTTTTTTTATTTTACAGGTTTTTTAACATTTTATTCCCAAAGAGTTAGTGCGCAACATATTCAGATATTCCAGCATGTGAGAGATGTTCTGGATGAAGAACATATTAGCACCAAGTCTTACCAATTGTCACCAATTAACAACAAACCTGCAAGCATCATGAATATACTGTATGTCACTGTCAGCGGCTTGAGGTAAGAGAAATATTTCTCCAGCAATGTGCATCCAGTCGTGTCTTTTCTTTTCTTTCTTTTTTAAATTTTTTTTTGTTCACAGAGTGTCATAGAAAGACGTGCTGGTAAGTAAGATGTTTACCTTTCAGAAGTGGGTATTTATTTGCTTCTTGAATCAATAACAATAGAAAATACAATAGATCAAGGATGGGCAACCGGTGGGCAACTAGTGGCCAATGAAAAAAGTGCTTTTTTAAATGAATGAATGAATGAATGAATTGGGACATAGGTTATCTGTATGCAAAATTTCAAGGTTAACCTTTGTGTTTAGGCTGCTTGGAGATGCTCTGTCATGAAGAATAAGTTGCACAAAGCTAAATATGAGATGTTTACTGAAATCACAAATACATAAACAAGAGAGACTTTTTACCACAACCAGAACCATACAGGAGTCTGACATCAATGTGAAACAAACTGTTGAATTTCGGCTCGCTAAAGTACAACGGAGTATTAGGGCCACACAATGAGATTTTTTTTATTATTATTACGAGATTAAAGTCGTAATTTTATGAGAATAAAGTCATAATTTTATAAGAATAAAGTNTGTCACCGAGAGACGGACTCTGGATCTGTGGCTCAGACCTGATTCATGGCTGATGATGATGATGATGATGATGATGATGATGTGCTTCCTCCACAAGTTGTTTTTTCACTGTCTGGACTCAGTTCAGGTCAAAATGGTTTCTGTGGTTTTTAATCTAACGAGGTGGGCGGGGTCACCACGTCTACCTGWGGTGACCTCAACACAGCAATTAACAAATTAATGAAATAGATCACAATTCATTACTTTGTGACAAAACCAGATTTTACTCAAACTTTTGGGACAGAAAGAGGATTTTTATTAGTTTTTGTTTGCTTTTAATCTACAATGGAGTATTAGGGCCACACAATGAGATTTTTTTTTATTATTATTACGAGATTAAAGTCGTAATTTTATGAGAATAAAGTCATAATTTTATAAGAATAAAGTCATAATATTACGAGATTAAAGTCGTAATATTAGGAGATTAAAGTCATAATTTTCCGAGATTAATATTACGAGAAAAAAGTCACAATCATGACGTGTCCCGTTCTTCATTTCCTCCTTTTTTTCCCCCTCACACCTGCGGTGTACAGCCATGTCTCTGTGTTTATAAAGTAGTCAATGATGACTCAGGTAGCTACTGTTAGATTAATATGCTTTCATCCAAATTAGCTACGTGACGACTAAATCTGTCAATGCATCCATTAATTACAACACAGCTTCAGTTTATAGTCGTTTACACAACTTCACAAAGTCCTGCTACTGACAATTTGATGCTAATGTGMTAAAAGATTAATTTTTATCAATACTAAAGAACAACTTGACAAGTTGCTCAACATTCCTCATTTTAATGCAGTAACTGCATGGTTTTTCGTGTAAAGGCAATATTACGATTTTTTTCTTATAATATTATGACTTTAATCTCATAATATTATGACTTTAATCTTATAATATTACAACTTTATTCTCATAATATTATGACTTTATTTTTATACAACTGTAATGTCATAATATTATGATTCTATTCTTGTAATTTAAAAAAATTAAAAAAAAAAATCTCATTGTGTGGCCCTGATATTTCGTCGTACCAAAGTACGTAAGTGTTTATTTTTTGTTTGTTTAACAGTTTTTGTAGTCATATTTATTAAACGTGAGTACAACTGTTACACATGCATGAGCATGGAATGATAAGTTACAGCACTGTAGACATATATTTAAACAAACACTTTCAAAATGGCAGTTTTATTACATATGGGTAAGTGTGCAGCTCAATGTGGTCCTATTGTAGTGTTAATAAAAACGTTTGTGTCTCCTTCCATCATTTAAGTTGCCCATCCCTGCAACAGATGATGCTTGAAATAAACAAACTTAAAAAAACCAAAAAATTTAAATGCAGTGGATAAAGACTGAGAAAAACACATACTTGATAATGCTGTATATTCAATAAATTGTTTAAAGCAATTACCCTGCAGGGATAAAAAGGCAGACAACAAGACAAGCAATTCTAATTGCTTCACAAATTAAAATGATTATGATTTTTTTCTAAAGTGATGCTTTGAGGAGTTACTGGTGCATTTATTGTGCATTAGTGACACCCGATGGTCAACCACACATCAATGCCACAATTACAAGGTCAAAACGTTAATGTGTGTTCGAGTGTGCAGGAGAGACTCGCGACGGATGATCACTCCATCAGCATGGGACTCTGCRTGAGTATTCAGAGCACACAGCTCCTACTAATGTACTTCATTACCATTACTCTGCCACATCAAAACCCTCAATCAAAATAAACAATGTCTGCTGAGGCTCATTAAAGTAATACCTCTGCTGGACAGCCAATTTCACTGTGCGGCTCCCTTGTGTGTAACATTATGTGCGTGAGTGTCCCAGAGTGCTTCAGGGGATTCCGAAACTGAAAGATTAACTCTGAAGTCTGAAGTGCCACAATATCTAAGTTGTGAGTTTGCATTTCTATTCTTCTCTCATTATGTTTATACCAGGAGAGATAAATAGGTATATATTACTTAAGCTACAAGCTGTTTTTGACATGTCCTTTCAGTATCAGATTTCCTCTTTGTTTTGTTGTTTTCTGCAGATTACCTAAACATCATAGCATTTTGCTTAATGTTAACCAGCACATGGCTTAAAAAAAACACTGAGTATAAAACTGCAGCTAGCCTGTAGGAGATGGAGTGAAATCAGAGAGCGTGTTACTTACTTTACGACTACCATCAGGTGTCTTGTAGGTGAGCATGTAATTGTCAATCTCTGTGACTGGCGGTTGCCAGGATATGAGAGCGCTGCGGTGGTTCACCTCACTGGCTGTCAGGTTCACAGGTGCATCCATGGCTGCCAAAAGCAGAGGGGGGAAAAAAAAMGGTTGACAGACAACCTGGATGGCAGGAGAAAAACTAATTGTTCTCATGGTATTTTTAATCATTTACATGCATTGTACAGTTTTCACCTTTTGGCACACTTTTTTTTTATCTCAGCTCTCAAAAGAAGAGCACCAGTTGTTGATTTCTGTGTGTGCAGTGGTTTAATTGGACATGGTGTTGAAACAAAAGCAAATGCAGATAAAATTTGCCATATTGTGAATCTCTGAGAGCCACTACGCATCACGTTAAACCGTGTGGTACACTGCAATAAAAAAGAAATAAAAAACTTGGACCACACATACTATCTGATGTTTGAATTACAAAAAGTTTGTTGTGAGTTATTTTTTTTAAATGAAAAAGCAACTTCCCTTGTATTTAGAAATATTTCTTGGACAAGAACACAAAYGTTTCACTTAATGACTGCTGGAGATGGGCATCATGCTCTCTGCAACCATGAATAGTTTTATAATAGTTGTACTGTGTTTTTTATTTTTATTAATTTTTTTTATAAATGTGTCTAGTATGYGATGTTTGACACAGAGCTTTAAAGTAACAAAGAACAAATGATTATTTATACAGGAGTTTTTCAGCCATTGTTTCACTTCAACTCCTTACATTTTCACACAATTATGTGCACTTTCTACTACTTATGTTTTAACAACAGCCTTGTAATTCCCTTATTCCCATTTCATTTGGGCTTGTTTTCATTCTGGCTTGTTATTGTTAAAAATATATATCCAGATACAGTACTGCATATGGTATTTCTCAGATGAGAGTGAATCTATGCAGGTGAAACAGGAAGTCCAGAGCTTCCTTTTTTTTTTCAGCATTAACATTTTAATATATTGCAGTCATTATTGCTTTAAGTGCTTTTTTTGTTTGTTTGTTTTGTTGTGGGGAGGTCACGTCCCAATAAATGTCATTTTTGTCATTTTGTAATAAATATAAGAAATTCATATTATATTTTTATAAATTTACATTTGATACTTAACTGTAAATGTCATACTTTAAGACTTCTACTCACGTAATATTGTCAGAGTAGACTTTAACTTTTGCAAAAGTACTTTTATGGTAATACAGTTTGCTTGTATTTTCACTAAAGTATCACTTTGAGGTATACAACACTGCTTTAACATGAGAAATCATAGTTTCAAACTAAATTGATTTGTCCTCCTTGAAGTGTTGCTGTTAATGAACCGGCCTGTTTAGCTAATAAAAAAAAAGCACAGGAAAACACAGGCAACAGCCACACAATCAGAGCTTAAGTCATCAATACACTCAGTATTAAAGCAAATCAATCTACAACCTGGAAATTAGAACCCACTGAATGACAGGAAGCCTGCAGGTTAGATAAATCACAGTTATTCATTGGATTTAACTCACATAATTACCAGAAAAGTTGTATTGCTTGTTTAAATAAGCAAAGGTAAAATACAAAAAATGCATAACAGTACTGCAGAAAGGCATCTTTGATTAATTTAATTGTTTTGCTTCTCATACCATCAATGCAATATATGGATGCAATAAATAAACAAACTAATAAATAAATCATTCTTATTGAGATTTTATTGAGGATTTTGTTTTAAAACCTAAGAAAACATTAAGTGTAGTGCATGGTTTTGTACTGTTACACAACATTCTAATGTTTTTTAGTGACATTAACACTATCCAACCTGCCTCAGAATAACTACTTTCTACTGTTCCAAATAACCTCCTCTTATGCCATCCTCACAATCACTTAGACAACTTAAATTTAGAAACAGGCAAAAAATGTAATTGTTAATCTTACTCATTGCTTTATGACCACTGACTTATCGCCATAAAAATAGAGATCAATACTTCAATTATTTTTGCACAAAGAGCTTGCTACCTTTATTTCTAAAGCAATTACAACAGAAAAGAAAGTAAAGAGGTGGAAAAAATAAATAAAAAAATAATGACATTTTTCTTGCACATACCTCTGCAGGGTATTTTCGTTAGACAGGTAAAATTCCCTCATCAGTTATCCTAAACCCCCACAGGACCAAGTAAAAACAGCAGTGAGGCACTTTCCCATGTTTAGTCAGAGATGTGTCACAGCCTCACAAGCCTTCAAACTCTTGATCAGCCAGAGCCCACCCAGGTTTTACTGCACGTTACATCACATCAGTCATGTATATTCTCATTTCCTGCATAGCGAGGAACAAGATTTGATTACAGTTCTTTTGTTGATACTTAGAAAACAAAACAAGGAGAGTTACCTTCATTTCTCCACCTTACATCACCTTTTTTATTTCAGTTTTTATCTGATCTATCAACATGGTGAAAGAAGCACTAACCTAATTTTAGAGCATGAAACAAATAAATGACCCTTTATTGAGAAAAAATCTGTTTCCTGGAGTTACATCATGACTCTGGGGCACATCATCAGCCAGTCAGCTAAAAGTGCTCGGAGTGTGAGAAAGGCAGGGGAACTGAGACAACATTAAAAAAARAAGGTGCTGCACTTTGTGTGCTGTGAAAGCCAAAGACCTTGCGGTGAAAATGAAATAAAGATATCAACCACATTCTTGTCTCTTGATCTGATTCAGTGACTGCGTTTCCTCTTTGGATCTCCTCCATTCAGCCTTTTGTCAGGCAAATACAGTGGGTAAAATAAGTATTGAACACGTCACCATTTTTCTCAGTAAATATATTACTAGCGGTGCTAATGACATGAAATTTTCACCAGATGTTGGTAACAACCCAAGTGATCCATACATACAAAGAAATCAAACTATAAATGTCCAGAAATGAAGTTATTTGTAATAATGTGGAATGGCACAGGGAAAAAGTATTGAACACATGATGAAAGGGAGATTTAAAAAGGCATGGAAAGAAAAGACACCAGCTGAACTCTCTCAGTA